CCCCGGCCAACTATATTTTCTTCAAGAATTTAATTATTCTTTTCAAAATTCACACAAACCCAAATGAACTAATGTGCTACTTTACTTTTTTCACATAAGAACAACGTTGAAATGTGAGCTCGATAACTAAAAAGAAAACACTTTATTTTGTTGAAAAAGAAAGTATTTTTTCTACGACATGAAAAAAAAAATATTCAGTTTGTTGAAATAAAAGAAAATACTTTTTTACATCATGAAAAGAAAGTAGTCGTTTTGTTAAAATGAAAGAAAATATTTTTTCTATATTAAAAAAAAAAAACCTAGTTTGTTGAAATGAAATAAAATACTTTTTCTATATCATGAAAAGAAAGTACCATTTTGTTAAAAATTTCTATTTCAGGAGAAGAAAATACTTTTTCTACATCATGAAAATATTGAAATGAAACAAAATACTTTTACTACATCATGAAAAAAATATACTCATTTTGTTGGATACAACATGAAAAGAAATTACTCTTAATAATAGTTCTATCTAGGGTGGATGTGGTGTGGTGGGTGGGTAGGGGTGGTTTGGGGGGTGGGGTGGGGGCCGGTTGGTGGAGATTGGTGTGGATGGGGAATAGGGTGGAGAAGGTTGAAAAAGAGTTTCGGAAAATAGTTTCCTCCAATTGGAGAAAATGAGCTCATGAGGAAAATATTTTCCAAAACATTTAAGCTAACCAAACATGAAAAAATTGGAAAACATTTCCGGAAAGTATTTTCCGTCAAACCAAACACACCCTAAATTGAAATCAAGATCCATTTCGAGCACTTCAGTTTCAAGTTTATCATGGACACAAACATTAAATCCATGCACATATGGTTCACTCAAAAGTTCAGACTTCGACAAGATGAGATTAAACAGAACACTCATTCAGAAGTCTGAATTAACCGAGTAAAAAAGGCAACCTGATGCACGAAGCATCCCGCATTCACGCTGAGTCCCGAAAAGGGCTGCATCACAAGGGGTGTGATGTAGGCAAGCTACCCTGATGCAAGCATCAGTAGTTGATTTCACGGCTCGAACCCGTGATATATAGGTCACAACATCACACACAGATAACTTTACTGTTGCTCCAAGGCTCCCCTTCTTGAATTAAGAGAGTGAAAATGCAAAAACTTGGAACTTCAAACACGATAAGATTAAACAAAACATGAACACTTTAAGCAGGTAATGAAATTTTACCTTGCTAGTAACATAAAAACATGCACAGATTCAGTGTTATCACCAAGTCTTGAACTAAGTGTTAGGAAATGAAAGATTCATAACTTCTTGAGATCAGTGTTAGAAAATGAAAGATGTAAAGACAATTCATAATACAGAAAAGGCAGAAGTTCAAGGAAAACCTCTTCCTGATTATACTAATTAAACTGGAAATATTTCAGTCTAAGCTCAACTACAAGCTAGTAAATTCAAGCAGATTTTAAAAATACAAGCAACTTCTTTTGTGAACCTTTTCAATTGGAACCACAGTTCAGAAGAAGGCCCTGCTGCCATAAAACACTCTTGGGCTTTGGCCGCTTGGACGCGCTTGTGGTTTCTCACTTGAACCGGAGCTCTCTGTGTTGTCATTTCCATTTTGGACGGCTAATCCACTTTCCATGTCCAGAGGAAGTTTCATCTTTGCTAGAGCTTCCGTGAATTGCTGCATGCTTTTCATATACATATCGACTATCTCTTGCTGCACAACCTTTTGCTCTGGTACAATGCTCACGTTGACAACTGGAGGTGTGAACGTGCTAACAGCAATAGAAGGCGTGGTGCTATCGACCTCTTTGGCACTGTCTTTACTACCATCCTTCAGAGGCAATACAGACTCCTCGATCGGAGAGTTTGATGTTTGTTTGGTGTCACAAACAGATGGTGAGTTTGATTGAGAAACTCTGGTTGAAGTCTCTAACTTCTTGATTTCAGTGGCATCTTGACCTTCAACAACCGCACTTTCTGACGTACGCTCAACGTTCTCGGGAGAGATGTGATCACCATTTTCCGTGGAGTTGATATGCTCAGAGCTTTGACTATCCAACTCAGTGCAGGGAATTGAATAATACTCAGTAACCATTCTTTCATTTTCATTCACAATTTTGGGATCCGGGAATTCAATGTTAACCAACTCACAAGGAATACTGTCAGCGATTCCACGACCTTCGTCACAGTCATTTGCTGCAGCCAAAGAATGGCCTGGTGTGGGAATCTCTAAGACTTCTGGAGTTGCACCAGTATATGTTAGTGTCAATTGCACAAAACCGGACGGGGAATGGAAGAGATCACTCGACGACAAGGAGAATTCCTGTTCTAGCTTTCCATTCTCAGCAAGAACATCACAAAGAGGAACTAAGGTAAATCCCAACAACTGATCTTGCAAATAATTCTTAACCCTACTCATCATCCAAATCTCACATCTCACTGATGTTTCAACACTCTTAACATTGAGTCGAAGACTCTGATTAAAAACTGGATTCTTTCCCCCACCATTAATAGTATCCGTCGAAACAGCTTCTTCTGGATAACTAATTAAGTAAATCTTTGCATAAACATCTTGTTTATGATATATGCATATGTTATGAATATCTCTAGCTTGATGTACATAAACATCAAGAACCCCAATAGAATCAGACTTTGGTTTCAAAGGGTCATAAACAACAGGTGATTTTGCCATAGTAACTATTTTTTGAGGTTCCATTATTAAAAAAAGTTCACTTTTTTGAACTCACAAAATCAAGGTGACTGCTTGAACTGAAAGTGAGCACAACAACAACAACAACGACAACAAATCTAGTATATTCTGACAAGTGGGGTCTGAGGAGGTTAATGAGTACGCCGACTTTGCCCCTAACCTGAATTGAAAGTGAGCACAAGTATTCAAAAGTGAAAGCAACAGAAATACTATTGAAAGGTACTCAAACTGAATTGTGAAATTGGGAGAATTGGTTAGCACTTACGTACATAAGAGCCAGAGCTGAACTTTGTCCCAGCTTCCACCTTCAGATTCACTGCTTAAGTTAAAAAAATAGACTGATTTTGTGCAAAATTGTAGCACAACTAGCAGACCAAATCAAGAATTAAATATTGGGTAACTGTTTCTAAACTTTCTCTAGAGCCCCCAAAAAACCAAAGGCAGCATACCCAAGAAAGCAGCCAACTTTATAATGGACACCAAATTCAAGATTTCAAAGGCAAAATTCAAAGGGAGAATAAAAAGGGACCAATAATTCACAAGTATCTTGAAGATTACAGTAAAATGTGAGGACAGAGAGAGAAAAGGGTATTAGGTATTTTTCTAATTTAGTACACTCCTTAAGGAGTATAAAGACAAAAAACTTTTTTTCTTTTTCCTTGCTTTTTTGTGTATTTTTCTGCACAGAAGTCAATCTTTGAGTTTTGTGTGGAGCCTTGTGGCTGCTGCTACCTATAATTTAGGTGGAGAGTGATGGCTAATAAAATTCATAGAACTGTCTGACTTCTGAATTGAAACTGTAGAGAGAATCCAGTTCTTGAAATAAAAGTCATAGGTTTTGATTAATTATTAGTACTTGGAGCTGTTACTTTTATACTGCTTTTGCAATAATGTTACTTTTATACTGCTTTTGCAATAATGTTATGTACTAGAATGTAGATTTTAATAATGGACATTTTTTTTTTTATCAAAATAATAATGGACCTCTATTATTGAAATCTTTGAACTGTTACCTTACTTTGACCTGACTGTTAACAATTTGACTACTACTTCCAATGTGTGCGAAAATAACAACGTAATTTGCAAATTACTTCTCTTTTGTCTGATTATAACTGTTAGGGGTATTTGGAAAATAATATATATTAGCTTTAATATTATTAATATCTTATTTGGCAGTGTTTTTTAATCACTTTATTTAGTATTATTTTTATACATAGCATTAGCAATACTTTTCTTAAACCGAAGGTCTATCGAAAACAGTCTTTCTACCTCTCCAGGTAGGGGTAACATCTGCGTACTCACTACCCTCCCCAGACCCCACCCGTGTACTGGGTTTTTTGTTGTTGTTGTTGTTGTTGTTATTATTGTTGTTACCATTAGCAATACGATGATTTTTAATACATAGATAAGCATGCAGGGACGAATCCATGATTTAAACTCTATGGGTTCAACTTTAAAATTTTTTAACATTGAACCCATTATATTTTTAAAGTTATGTATTCGTATCTATTATTTTTGTAATTTTAATGAATTTACTATGCGTCGAAAGTTAGGGTTCTATTGAACCCGTAACTGCCACATTGCATCCGCCCTATAAGCATGTATAAAGACAGAACTGTCCTTTTAAAATCTGTAACACAACAAAATAAATAATTGACAGAAAATAGTTCCAATATAACTAATCTCAGCATTACTAAGCTATATTACTAATACACAATATTTAGTACAACAATAATAACATACCCAGTATATCCCACACCGTGGAGTCTGGGGAGGGTAGTGTGTACACAGACCTTACCCCTACCTTATGAGTTGTGAGGATAGAGAGACTGTTTCCAATGGACCCTCGGCTCAGAAAAGCATAAGCACCAGGAAAGCATAATACACAATATTTAGTACTATTCTTATACTGTTACACCCCATGTTTTCGTACGTGAGAATACGTCGTAAGTCAATTTATGTAAGTTCAGAAAGGATATTATATTTGAAAGTACATAAAGTAAGTTAATCATGTTACCATGGAGGTTACAAATCTTTAAGATCACGGATAACAGGTACCAAGAGGGTTGAAAGGCTTAGAAGCTAAACAAATTGAAGAAAATAAGTTTCGTCGAATGCTGACAAGTTGGGAATGTTATAAAATATACTTTTGGGGTGAGAATAGGGTGCTTAACATTATAAGGAGATGAAGTTATGAGTTATTTTAGTCGTGTGTTATGTTTTGAAGTCAAGCGAGTTGTGGAACAAAAGTTGGAAAAGGTCATCACAAGTTACATTCATAAATGTGTTGAAACTTAGGTCAATTGTAGCTGAGCTTTTATCCTAATATGCTTGGAACTAGGGGATGATCTACCTATTAAATTGAAGATCTATGAGTCTAGTTTCTAATTCATTAAACCTCTTATCAATACGACATTGGAGTAGAGTGATATATGCATTTTTGCGAGACTGCGCAGACTGCTAGGTGACAAGTAGGTGTGTAACCTACTTGCTTAAATGAGAGTCCAAAAAGGGGCTACTTCGGGTCGTCCAAAGAGCCCATTTGAGGGTTTATCTCCTGTAATATAACACTCATTTTATAACAAAATAACCAGACCTAAACCCGTGCAAACATCCTCCGAAAAATTGCCCACAAACCCTAACTGATTTTCTCTCCTTTTCAAGTTCTAGTTGGAGGTAAAACCTAGAGTTTGAATAACCAAAATATTAGCTAAGTTATTCAAGAAATAAGGTAAGTTTACTGCTCTATTTCATCCATTTTTTCTGCTGGAGATGTATGGAAAGTTGTTCTATAATTTTTAGAACTCACGGGATGGTGATCGAAATCCGTGAGCTCGCATTATTCACTTGTAGCGGACTGTTTTGTGGACTTTTTTGTGTACTATTGTTGGATTGCGTGTTTTACTACTATTTTATGGAGTTTTGAAGGAGGAAGGGTGTGGAGAAATACCAAATAAATGCAGAGTGGTGGGCTGGTCATTCGTCGTAACATTTTCGGGCTGTTTGACACTACTACGGTGGTCGTTTTGTGTACGAAGAGATTGGGGTGTGTTAGGCTGTTTTGTAGTATTTTGTGGTGTATATAAGTTTGGAAAATAATGTATATATGTTAATATTGTTTTGTTCTTGTTGTTGTTGGTATATGGTATTGGAGGAGGGCCTTGTTACAGGGGAGATGCTGCCCAAATTTATGTAAACGAGTTACTAGTTTAAGTTGCGGACTTAGCCTTTACTCAACACTAATATTGAATCTCCTTATGCTGTGGTAGATTGAGTTGAGTTGTTCGAAGAATTTCTTGGAAGGTATTAAGGACTCAACGGAGTTAAGGTATATTAAGGCTAAACCTTTCCTTCATTTTGGCATGATCCAGTAACTACATGTGTTTGATAATGAGACATAAAGAGAAGTTCGTATTCCTAAATTTATGTACATTGGCCTAGTCTCATAAGTTACAGCATTCTCCCTTATCAGGACTTCATATTTAGTTTACTTTTGTATTCTTTCAGCCAAGAGAGCAGAGAGTATATATATATATATATATATATATATATAGTATTACAGTATTTTCACCACCATCGAGTTATAATCGATGTGCAGGCCCCTATTGAGCAACCTTTGATCAGATGGAAAGTTATATACCAAGCCTACTATGGCCGAGCGCCTATGAGCGAGCCTAGAATGGCCGAGATACAGAGCCTAGTATGGCCGAGAGCCTATGAGCGAGCTTACTACGGCAGAGCAGTTACACATACAAAGCCTTATAGGGACGTACATCTACTTTACTTACTATATTGATAGAGATGAGTCAGTATCAGCAAGTAAACATACTTTCTAATCATATTTGACTCCCAGGTACTTTTAGTTATTATATTATAAGTTTAGTTTCAGCTTTTAGTTATTCCGTTGTCTTACGTACTCAGTACATTATTTCGTAGTAACGTCCCTTTTGCTGGGGACGCTGCATTTCATGCCTGCAGGTCCTGATAGACAACTGGATAGACCTTCCTAGTAGATAAAGTCAAACATCGGCTTGATTGGTAAGCTACACTTCCTCGGAGTTACCAAGTCTATACCTTGGAGTCCATTTTATATATACAAGTTTGATGGGTAGGTCGAGCCCTTGTCCCGATCATGATACAGTTCAGTTATCCCTAGAGGCTTGTAGACGAGTCTTGTACATTTTTATATCAGTATTGTGGCTTTACCATCCCTATGTAGATGTTTAGTTTGGTACTGCTAGTTGTAGACGTTATTTTCAGATGATTCAGAATAGGCCTCATCGGCCTAAGTTGAGGCTTACCCCTCTAGAGTTCACAGTTACAGAGTGGTACGCTCGGGCCGAGTATGGCACCGGGTGCCGGCCATACCTCTTCAGGTTTGGGGCATGACAAACTTGGTATTAGAGCAGTTTTATCCTAGGGAGTCTACAAGTCGTGTCTAGTAGAGTCTTGTTTATGAGTGTGTTGTGCACCACACTTATAAGTAGGAGGCTACAAGGCATTTAGGACTGTCACTATTTCTTCTTACTCTAGATTGTGTGGTAGATCTTAGTTGTAAGATTCAAACTCCTAACTTTTATTTTATTCGTAATACAACGCTACCTACATCTAGAAACACAGTTGGTAAGAGATTGAATGTGGCTGTAGAAGAGTCGAGTCAGAAGAACTCGATTTTTCATCAAGCTTACGATGAGTAAATGTGAGGTCTTCAGCATATCATATGTGTACTAAGAAGTGTAAGCTTCTTGGTAAGATCCTTAAGGCATGAATATTTATCCACCCATATGGTAAAAAGAAACGAAAGAATCAGAAGGTAGATACAAGTTTCAATAAGTAAAAGAAGCAAGGTGGCGAAGGGTACGAGGTACCCAGTTAGTGAAGATTATCAGTATTTAAAATTCAGGCGGGGAAATATAAGTATTTGAGTTACCGTCAACAGTAACTGAAGTATGTACAATTAGCCATACCCATCTTAGTTATGCCCTGTGGGAGCTAACAAATATTGTTTAAGAGAAGGATGGGATATAATGATCCAGCTGGGCTTAGAGTAACCCAACTGGTGGATAGATTGTTAGCATTAGCTGACATTTTCAAAGGATATTGCAAATGTGGTAATAGTTCTCTGTGTGAGATACCCCGATGGTGCACTCTAGAATAGTTCATTTAGATATGAATACTAAAATGTCCAGAAAAATTTCAGAAGAAAGGCAGTGGAATCCTAGAAGGGATAAATATTTACCTTTGTATGGCTCCCATCCCTAATAAAGAGAGAATGGTAGGCGACCCGAAGAGCCAATAGATAGAGCAAGGGGAGCTAAAAGTAAAAGAATGTTTTGTTGAAGTTTTCAGAATAAGGTAATAGACAAAAATATTAGCAGGAGAATAAGAAGAGAGTAAATAAAGTATTATGAGTAAGATGTGATAAATGGGTGATAACGGTAAATCAAAATATGATATGATGACAGATTCCATAGTCAAGTGAAGGAAAAGACAAGAGCTGATAGGCCTTGAGACAATAAAAGAGTATAGGCCAAAAGTCATATCCTCATTTCGAGAAATGAGTTGGTGAGTCCAATGTGATTACTAGAACAAAAATTTAGACCCCCAGAGTAAGAGAAATCAGCATGGTCTAGTAAACAAGATAAACTGAACATCAATAAGGGATCGAATGATGTAATAATAGTCGACATCAAGAAAATTTCAATTCCAGCAATAACAAAATAGACAACAGAAGAATAACCTTTAAAGGCCATTCAGGAAGACGCTCTGCCAAAGAAAAAACTTTGAGCAAAGTTAAGCTTAAAGGACTAGG